CAGTACCCCAGACAGTCAGTTTGACCTCCCGTCTTTCCCCTGGTGAATCTTTTCCAAGTTTTTCTGAGTGATGTCAATGCAAAGTTTTCCCAAACTTCCTGGAAATTTTACAAGCAATTCACCAGAGATACAAAGAATATCTGGGGCCTTAGCCAACAGCATTCCTCTATGAATACTGACTCTTGATTTGCTTTTATTTTTCTTAATTGGGGTTGAGCAATTTTAGAGATTTACGGTTAAGGAGACAAGCGAATTATGAAACTTAACAAATTAAAATGTGAAAATGTTCATCATTTCTAGCTCCACTCTGGACATGAATTTTTTTTCTTATGTAGTAAGAGGCCAGATTTTTCACACAAGCATCTGTTTAATTAACTGTAGTGTATAATAAATTCTCAGGTTAAATCTTACTGGAATTTATTAAGCGAGTGTTTTGCTCCAATAGGTTAATGAGCAAACCATTATTAATGTTGCTTCAGAAAAAAGGGCACGTTTCCTAAACTGAGAGGAAAGAAGGCAAAAGAAAAACTCAAACCTTCTTTTTTTCCAAAATTCATTTCTTTTTATCATCAACATTGTATTCATTGGTTGTTCTTTTTGTGTCCTCTAATTCTGTTATCTGGACATGTCTCAGTGTGAGTACCAAATAGGAGATCAACTAAGCATTTGCTGCACCTCAGACAAAATCTCATTCTGGGTTATTAGACAGTGTCTGATGCTGCCGACTTCTCGCCAGCTTAGCAAGCACAACCTCCGAGAGAGGCTTTTTTTGGGGAAAGATCGCTCAGGAAAAATGCGTGTGCTTCTTGACGAGCCATTCTAGGTTGGGTGTCCCTGAAAGTATATGGGGGTGGTGTCCCTTCAAGCACAAGGAAAGGGCAGGTCCTGCTGTTATCCTTGACCCTCCGACAAAATAGTCAGACGCTGTTTGTAAAAGAGCCAAGTAATTAAAAGTATCCCAGGGTTATGGTGAAATAGGGCAAGTAAAATACGCTCCTGGATACCAGCTCTCTTTCAGGACCAGCTCTTTTGTATTTCCTCTCTATTTTGTTTTCTCCTTTATTTCAATTTTTCATGGCACAGTTTCCTCTCTCCCACATTGTTCTTCTTCGCCTGTCAGTTGGTAAAATGATAAGTACCCTTATTACTGCTCGTCTAGCTTGAGGCCTATCTGGAGCTATTTGCTTCTAACCCCCAAGTTACCCTCCAACTCCTAGCTCGATTTGTTTCTCTTAATTTCAAAACAGATTATTAACCATTAAATGTATTATGAGAGGGTACAGAAATAGATAAGAGTTACACAGGAAAGTGGTGGAATACTTTCCAGCATTTCACAAGCATTTTTCTTTAGGATGGTGTTTCTAACAGAAAGAAACTTGGGGTGTGCTCTTTGGCTGTCTCTATGTTGACTATACATCTCATTTAACCCCAAACAGGCTGAGTGGATGCTTGTTGTCCTGGTTTAATTATTAGTGGCATGTTTTTCACTCTCAAAAGTGCTCTGAATTAGAGGTTAGACTACTTTATCATCCCACCTGTCTCTCATTGGACTGTTGAGTAACTGCTCAGTAAATAGATATATTAGTTTTGCTTTTGTTTAGAGAGTTCACAAAGCCGTTCTCTGGGTCTTCACCCTTACTTCTGTTCTTAAATTACTATGAGTACTGTCAGACTTTGGAATGGAAACAATTTGTTACTGTCCAGAGATTCCCCATATCTCTGAATGGTATTAGGAAGCAAATGAATGCATGGGCTTTCAATCAGGTAGGAGGGTGGGAATCTGTTGTGCCATTCACAAGGTTGTGTGACCTCGGGCAAATCATTTACCTTCTCTGAGCTTAAGTTTCCTAATCTGTAATTCACACATAATAGTAATTTCTGCCCTGGATTGTCATGAGGATTAAATAATAGATGATTATAGTTGTATGCTTATGTTAATCCACATATCCATCACCCATACAGATATTTCATTCATTATTCCTTATTTAAGCACAATGCCTGATACTACAACTGGAGTGGTTTGAAATTATAAGACTGTGTTATTTTCCTTAGACAAAATGTTGCATTTAAATACTGCAGGGGCAGTTAATTCATTTCCTCCAGATTGGGTTCGTTCCAAGGCTGTTCTTCAGGGTTGCAACCTGGCTGCAGTAGTTTAAGGCATCATGTCCACACCCAACAACATCCAGAGGCAGAAGAACGTGTGCCTCTTTCCTGTGTCTTTGAAAGGGAACTTCATGCAGAAGTCCCTCACCTCATCTCTCCCTTTTCCTTGGTCTGAATTACATCACATGCCAATGCACTTGTTCATTATTGCCAAAGAAAGAAGGGGAATGAGATCTTCAGGGTAAGTTGGCCAACAAAGCTTCCTGCGTGGAGAAAATGGGTTGTCTGATTAAATCAGGGATCTGTGTGCTCGCAGGAGAGCGTGCGTGTGTCCTGGGTAGACGAAGTGTGGGCAGCTGGATATCCAAATTCCAGCCAAGAATGTGACATCAGATTGCTTCGTGAATTCGAGAAAGCTCCATGCCTTTCTACTGTCCTGTGTATAAAATGTGACGTTGGCTTCTTAATAGTATGAGGTCTCTTCTACCTTTAATGTTCTGTTTGGTTTGGTTTTCTCAAAACCATTACAGTTCATGGACACCCTTCCATCTTTCAGAAAGTACTTTTAAGATTATGATGAACTCATGAAAGGCACTAGAATAAGAGTTACAAGATTTTTGTTCAAACCCAGATTCACTGCTTAGTAATTCTATGACTATCATTCATTAAAGAAAAAGCTTTTTATAAACTATAAAGAATAATATAAATCCAAATGATCGCTAGAGTCCATTTGACAAAATGCTGGGGTTAAAAAAAATTTCTTTTTTAAAAGTTCAGGGTCCCCTTAGAAGGTTAGTTGGTTTGGGGATGTAGAACCTTCAGGATTTTACCTTGAACTTGTTCTCACGTCTGATTCTTGTTTCTTCTCAGGAGGGGATTATCTACAAGAAGGAAAGTGGGACTTTTGCCTAATGCCCTAGTCCCAACACACTCACTGTGGACCAATTATTTTCACACACTAACAAGTGTAACCCTGGAACATGAGGATGTTGACATGACCTGTATACAGTTCTGAGATTGATAAGTATCAATGACATCACCTGCTGTTGCCAAATCCCCGATCCTCCCACTGCTCCTTTGTCATTGTCCTTTAGTGCCCAAGTTTAGACACGGCCATTGTGAAGTGACCAAATTGTCACCACATTTCCTTGGAAGGCTTCCTATGGCAAGTGTGAGGGTGTTCTTTGTCCAGTAAAATAACAGTGAAGGGGGCGTGAGGAGTGAGGCTGGGCAGCGCCATGTGATCCCGAATCACCATCCTCATCCTCGGGAGAGACACAAGGCAGAAGGACCACTATGGGGCTGGTGTATGTGTTCAGTAGTCAGCTCTGAGTCCAGGTGTCTTAAGTCCCTGGACCTTGACCCTTGGCTTCTTAGTATGTGTGTGTGGGAGGCGGGGAGTGGCAGTGGTGGGAGTGGAATATGAGAAACAAGTAGATCTCAGCTTCCTTTCAGGGCTAGCATTCTAAAATCTTAAGTTGATTGAAAGAGCCACTTCTGCAGAGTTGGTGCAGATGTGGAGACAATTGCACAGGGCAGCATCCCAGCTTTAGACAGCGGGTGACCAAGTGTCAGTTCATGGAAGGACAGGTGCTGGGAGCTGGGAACTGCCACCCGTGGATGTCACCGTGGAGGAGCACCGTGGGCGAGTGGCAGCTGCTGAGAGCTGCACCAGCTGCAGGGAGGCTGCACTCAGGACCACACACTGAGAGGTGCTGCTGGTGCCACCCTGGGGGTCCTAGAACTGGGGCTGTCACAGAGGGCAGCAGCTTGAGCTCTTGCTAGGGAGTTTCATGACTTCAAGATTTTCAATCTTTAATATCTGTTGTCTTTGTGGACAAATTGCCTAGATTTTTTTTTTTTTTAATGCTTCGTCTTTCTTCAGATTTTGAATTCCGAATACTATTTTCATAAAATCATAGTGTTCTACATTTTTTTTTTTTTTTGCTATTCTGGTGGGGGAGGGTCTTGAGAAGTGAACCTTGTTAAAAAATTAAACCATATGTATTTATTCAAGAAGCTCCCTGAGAAGGTCAACAAGTTGCAGTCAGCTCTCAGCTGTCACTTTCTTTGTTAACATCGAAGTACTGTGCTTTTTATCCTCTTTCCCAACTTCTGGTCATTTTTCTGCTCATTAGCTACTTGAGCCTGGGGTGGGCAAGAAATAAGATGGAATTTTAAACCTGTCAAATTGAAGTCTGGTTAATAGCCAAGTGGAGGTTCAATGGGCGGAGAAGGGAAAATGAATTCTATATTTGGAAGAAATAGTAGCTGTGGCAGAAAAATTAGTCTTGACTTACTTTTCTTTTCCTGATATTAGTGATTGACCATGACACAACCTCCCATATCGGTTATGGTGGAATCTGATTTTTCAAAATATAGAGTCAAAGATACCAGAGCTGCAAGAGTTTTCTTCTATCAACCAGATCTCTTGGTTTATAGATGAGGAGATGAAGATCTGACACATCAACAGATCTACTTTCAACCATTAGAATGGTCACCATTTATTGAATGCTAGAAGGATTGAGGTCAGTGTTTAAGCCCTAATTTCCCTGGCTCTGACAGCATTTCCACCATGCTATCTTGATCTGCCAAGGGTCACAGTGCTTCTGACAAACCAGGACCCAATTACTAAAGACAACCTAAAGCAAATTTGTTGTTAAGCCTTTCGTAAGTTATAATTTCCTTAGGAGTACGAAGAGTATTTTTAATCTCTGTATTTCCAGGACCAAACATAGTTTCTGATATGAAGTACATTCTCATGAAATATTTGGTCATTTAAATGCATATTTTATGTCTTCCTCGGTTAAAGATTGTAAAATCATTTATTAAGATTGCATAATTATATGCACCCAAATTTAGAAATATTCCTATAGTTAGGATTGATTTGATCATCCTTTTGGATGAGATTATTTTGTTACTATGCATGAGGCTATGTGTCCCTGGCTCTCCCTGGCTTATTGTCTTAGCACCAAGGCTACTGAAAGCAGTTCTTTCCCTCCCAGAAGCAGACCCACAGTAAACATTATAAATACAATTTTTCCTTTATTTTACTTGTATATCAATATCAAAAAGTATGTAATTGTTGAACATATAAACTGCCCATAACCCTAACACCAACTTTTTCTTTGGAATTATGTTGTCATCATGATTTTATTGTTTAACTGGTATTTCAATGCCATGATACAATAAACTTAATTATTCTACATCATTTCACATGGCCCTGTAAGAGGATCAGAGTGGGTAGGAACTGCACAGGCTCTGGAGTTAAAATGCACCTGGCTTCAGAGTTTTGCTCTGCCACATGCAAGTTGTGCAGCCTGAAAGAGGCCTCAGTTTTCTCATCTGTAAAAGTGGAGGTTATAATCAGCCTTGTCCCAAGACAAAAATATATAGTTATTTTAAAGACTAGATATATAATCACCATTAAGTCCCTGAAACATACATGAAGCACACTACCTAGTACAGGGCAAACACCTAATAATTGATGACTAATTGGTGCTCAATAAATGCTCTTTCTCTACTCTCACCTTCCCGGCTTTCCCAGACTTCTTAGAGGAGAACAATTTGGCTGCAGTAGAACTTACAAGATAAAATATCATCTTTTTTCTTTCCTTTTCTTTCTCTGCCTCTATGCAGGTGGATGCGTGATCGCTCTCCTGATAGGGATATTAGGAGAGAAGGGACTGGGAAACACATTTTCCATGAAGTCCTCTGTCTAGTTGAGCACAGCAGTCTATTCTAACTGGGCCAGGTGAAAATGCAGCCCAGCTTCTGGGATTTTTGCTTTTTTTGTTGGACCCTAGAGGGAAGACACGAGTTTTACGTCTGTTACTGGTTGTGGTAACATTCGGCTGGGAAGTTCATGTCCCTGGAAGACACAGGTCTTTTGGCTCCATCACAACAATGCTTCCTAGGGATGCGCAGTCTCACCCTGGAGGCCCCAGTTGCAATGTTGGGCGTCACAAATGTGAGAGTGAAAGCAGCTGATAGAAGACACGGAACGCAGAAACTCGAGGCCTTATAGCCCCAAACACACTCAAGTTGCATGACAAAAAAAAAAAAAAGAGAGAGAGAGAGATAGTTGAATGTAATGAGGACGCAATATGCTAACTTCTCAGTGCTTGGCAGCGGCCCCCTCACCAGCTGGGCTACACCAGACATAGAAGACACCAGACACTGGCTTAGGCTTCCACAAAGAACAAGTCACAACGACACCCCCTCTGGCATCTCCCCCAAAGCCTGACTGGCTTTTAATGGGGATCGCCTGGGGTTTCAGTTGAATGTAGTCAGAGTGTTGAACATCTAATCTGCCTTTGAGAAAGAGTATCCTGCATGTCGAAGGGAAGGAAGTGAAAATAAAGCTGCTTGAATCTAAATAAAAGGGCTTGCATAGCAGGGGTTTTCAGTGGGTTCCCAGCTTTGGAGCACGAAGCAGAAGAGGGAGCTGAGTACTGCCTGGGTAGGGGATTCTAAGAGGCAGGCTCCGCTGCCAGTGATACTACCTTCTGTTGTGTAAATCGCAGCTCCTGCCAAAGGGAACTCCCTAAACAGAGAAACGACCAGAATCGTTCATGAAAAGCCTGGGCAGTTGAAAGTTAGGCCTTGTCTGGAATTGCTCCCTGGATACTGATGGCTCCAACATTTCCAGTGTGCTGTGGTTGGATCAGACATTCTTCTCCAAGCCAAGATTGCTTCCAACAGCTGGAGGAAGAGCCCCTCCTGGCCTCTCCACCTCCTCAGCTTCATTTCTCACTGGAGACCATCCGAAAGGGGAGTTTAAAATTACTGTCTTTTGGGTAAATAGCGTTTACTTTTCCAGACTGAACTGCCAAAGACCTTAAGGAAATTAAAGAAAGAAAAGAAAAAGTGAGTTGCCATATCTGGTAAATAGTGTTTCTCTAATTAGGTGGCTGCATGGTTATTAACTACAGCAGTTGTGTATCCTGACGTGTGATTTATTTACCTTGGCACACAGAGTTAAGGTGCTGAGCAACAGAGCCAAATACAGTGATGGAGTGAGGAAAATGAGAGGATGCAAATCCACCACGAGGACTGGGTTCTGTACATCTTACAGAACTGGTTTTCCCAGAGGAGGGAAACAGGAATATTATCTCATTGCAAAACAGTCATTAAACTATAATTGAGTGCTCACAGCTAACAATGTCTAACTTCACTTTCAGTAAAAATCAAAATGAAAATCAATATCCTGACACAAAGCAATAACACAAATTAGAGAGCAATACTAGAAACGTTTTCTAGGAGGATTTAGAATATGCTCTAGTTGAAAAAAAATATAAGAAAAAAAATGATTCTTTGCCATTGCTTGTCCCATTGCTGGAAGGGTGACTTGTGAAACAGGTCTTCTTGGAGATGCACGCGGAAGAGGTGGGATATTCATGAGGCACGAACTTCCATCTTTCCTTTCCTTCTTACTGCAGATTCCAAGTCACCCTCATACACCTGCATTAAAGTAGAGTAACATGGAAGCAGCATTATTCCATCCCACTGACACACACACCCTAATTTCACACCTTTTCAAATGTATACCAAAGAAAAAATACCAAAAGTAGTGTTTTAGGCTGGGCATGGTGGTTTATACCTATAATCCCAGCACTTTGAAAAGTTGAGGTGGGAAGATCACTTGAGGACAGGAGTTTGAGACCAGCCTGTGCAACACAGCAAGACCCTGCTTCTACAAAAAATGTTTAAAAATAGTTTTTAAGTAAACATTTCTAAGGATATGTTATATTTAGAGTTATCCTTCCCGGATATAGTTGCGGTACAGAAGTGGATTGACATAGCAATTATTATATTACCAACTACAGAGGGTTAGCTAACTTGAGGCTATTATATATACTTAGTGTTTAATATTCCCTGTAAGTTATTTCTTCAGCCATTAATTAAATCATTTAGCAAATATTGGTCAAATGCCTGCCATGTTCCAGGCTCTATGCTAGAGGAAAGGCATTCCATGTCTTACAGAGTCTGCACTGACTAGGGAGGGAGGGGATCATCACAATGTGTGAAAGGACATGGACAAGTTGTGCAGGATGCTGTGGGAGAGCATGGAGGAGGCCTCAGGCAGCAGCAGGAAGGGCCCTCCAGAGACAGCAGCCCTTGTGCTATATCTTGGAGGCTGACACAAGGGGAGAGCACGAGAACACAGCTTTGGCAGCATGAGCAGAGTTTACGGACAGAACATATTACAGATCCAACGTTTTTACTACCTGGGATGGGTAGACATTGCTGCTTTTTGTGTAGGATCCAGTAATGATTAACCTTAAAAACATATTGTGTCTGTTTGGCGATGGATGTCTTATTCAACTTTAAATTATCTAAAGGTCTTGTTAACATGCACATTGTGATTCAGCAGGTGTGGGGTGGGGCCTGAGATCCTGCATTTCTAATAAGCACCCAAGGGGTATTGCTAACCTGAGGATAATACTCTGAGTACCAAGGGACCAGATCATCCAAAACACCTCCAGCTAAAATACTTAGGAACTCCAGATGAAATATATATATATATAAAGCTCATCTTATTCTGTGTAGCAGGTGGGGAAAAATCCTTTGCTGATCATTTGTAGCTGTTACCTTGACCTCCTATAGCTTTGAGTTGCAATTTATACACTTGTCCATGTCTTGGATTTCCAAAACAGAGAATAATACAAACATGATCCCAAGTCAATGATAACCATAAAGCCAAAAGTAAACTTCACTTTCTTAAGTTAGGCCAGCCAAGCATCTCACAGATAAAATTCTACTAAAGATGAGCTTACAATGGGAAGGTATTAAAAATATAAATAAACAATATAGCATGAGCAAAAGCCAGCAAACACCAGCTTATACATCCAAGAACTTCAAATAATAACATGATCTGAAGCTATAAAATAAACATGCTTAACATGATTAAAGATATCAGAGAGAGGAGTATGAGAAAGAAACAATATATTATGTAGTTAGATATATTTGAAAAATAACCAAATATAATATTTAAAAATTGTGATAATTTAAATTTAAAAATTGTAGCTAACATAAGATAACAGATTAGACACAGCTGAAGAGAGAATTATTGCAGTGGAAGACAGAGCTAGAGAGGGTAAGAAATTGAGAGTTGCAACTGGGTGTTTATATTTTTTGTCTCTGGGAGAAACATTAATTAAGAGAGGCTAAAGGTGCAGAAAAAGAGAGAATATCTGAGGGAGTAGAGTCCCAAAGGAGGATGGAAGGTTGGGATTCAGATACAAGTGGAAGGATTAGCCTGTATCAGAAGAGCAACACCTTCCAGATGTAAAGAAAGTAAAAGTAAGCATGAATCAGACAGCTTCTAGGCAGAAATAAAGGAAGCTATTACCTAATGACTTCACTTTTTACTGTGAATGAAAAACAATTTATTCTACACATAATATGTGCCAGGTCATTTTGTTAGAGCTTCTAATACATTACCACATTGACTCTTTATGCCTAAAGACAGATGTAAGTATTAGTATTATCTTCATTTTACAAGTGAGAAAACTAAAACCTGGCCAGTTAAGTAAGTTACTTAAGGTTCCACTGCAAGTAAACGAAAATAAAAAGATTCAAATCCAGTCAGTCTACTGTGTGGAAAGAAGTATAATCAGATTGTATGCTGAGTAGGGGAGAAATGGAAGAAGAGGGCAAGAGAATAGAGAAACCACCAGAAAGGAGCAGCAGAGAGAAGGCCAGACTTGCCCTAAGTAAAAATGGCCCAACTGAGGCTTGAGGACAATGCATTTTCTACAGAATCCTTTCTTTAAGAATACCAATAGAAGATTATGTTTGATACAAACTCTTTGTAGAGTAATTAGTAATGCTTTTTAGACATTAAGGTCAGTATAATCTCTTTGTAGTGCAAATTTTCAGTGCCCAGTGAAGTTGAAGCATACAACACTACAACACAGCTGGCACAGGCTTTTTTTTTCTATCCAAGATAAATTTTTCTCATGGCACAAGGAGATGTCTGCAGGGAACTCATAGATATTCACACTGGTGTTAGTCTGCCTTCCTGTATAGTCTGTCTATAGTCCCCATGGAACCATGGTTGAGTCTCAAATCATGTGATAAAAATACAATCCACAATTTCACAGTCCTCCCCAGTGCTCCCCACCTGCAACTTTTCCTAAAACAGCACCAATTTCAACCACGTGGTCACCCTCATGTGATACCAACTTTTTTTCTAACCTGTACACTTTTCTCCATTTTCTGCTGTTACACTGTCCACCTCCAGGCTCCTGCCTGGACTCCAGTGGTGGCCTCCCACTGGTCTCTGGGTTGCTACACTTTCCCACTTAAATGATCAGAACAGCTAGTGTGAACCTTTTTTTAAAAAAAAGACTTATTTTTAAGTGCAGTTTTAGCTTCACAGCAAAATTAAGAGGAAGGTACAGAGATTTCCCACCTATCCCTTCCCACTGCACATGCAGAGCCTCCTGTATTCTCACCATTCCACACCAGAGCAGTACATTTGTTACCATTGATGAACCTACCTTGAGACACCATCTTCATCCAAAGTCCATAGTTTACATTAGGGTTCACTCTTGGTTTTGTACATGATATGGGTTTGTATAAGAATATAATGACATGTGTCCCCTGCTAGTATCTTACCCAATATTTTTGTTGACTTAAAAAATTCTCTGTGCTCTGCCTATTTTTGCCTCTCTACCTCTTACCCCCTAAGAATTACTGATCTTTTTACTTTCTCTACAATTTTGCCTTTTCCAAAATGTCATATACTGAAATTGTATCATATGCAGCCTTTTTGAGTTGCCTACTGCCTTAGCAATATGCATTTCAGGTTGCACCATGTCTTTTCACAGCTTGATAGATTATTTCTTCTTACTGTTGAATAATATTTCATTGTTTGGATGCACCACAGTCTATTTATCCATTCATCCACTGAAGCACATCTTGGTTGCTTCCAAGGTTTGGCAATTATGAATAAGGCTGCGATGAACTTCTATTGGCAGGGTTTTGTGCAGACATAAGTTTTCAAGTCATTTGTATAAATATCAAAAAATGCAATTACTAAATTATATGATAAGAGTGTGTTTAGTGTTGCAAGAAACTGCCAGACTGTCTTCCAAGGTACCATTTTGCATTCCCATTAGCAATGAATGAGAGTTGCTCTTGCTCCACATCCTCCACCAGCATTTGGTGTTGTCCATGTTCCAGATTTTGGCCATTCTAATATGTGTGCAGTGGGATCTCATTGTTCTAATCTGTATTTCTCTAATGACATAAGATTTGTTGCATGTTTTCATGGGCTTATTTGCCATCTGCATACTTTCTTGGGTGACATATCTGTTTTCAGTCGGGTTGTTACTGTAAACTTTCTAGAATATCAACTAGATCATGAAATTTCCCTGCCTGAAAACCCTCCAGTAAATTCACATCACATATAAAATAAAAAGCAACTTTTTCTCTGGTCTATTAACCCATACTCAACTTGCCCCTGCCTAGCCTTTAGCAATGTATTTTTCTCCAGACACATTGGCTTTATTTCTGTTCCTCAAAGCCACCTGCTTGTTCTTGCCCATGGCTGGGACTAGAATGAGGTCCCAAGGGCACAAAATGTAAGGCACCAAGGTGCTTACTCTCAGGGGCTAGCTCTACGATCACACAGTCACGGGGTTCAGTGTTCCTTAAGAGTAGGGTGCCCAGGTGCAAAGTGTAAGGAGATGCTCACTCTTAAGCTCCTGCAAGTGCAGGGGCGGCCCCGAGAATGAGTGACTTATTAGATTAGTGCAAAAGTAATTGCGGTTTTTACCATTACATTCAATGGCAAAACCACAATTACTTTTGCACCAACTGAATGAATTTAGTTTCCTTGATATATCATATTAATGGTAATCCTGGTTCAGATCCTATCCCTGTGTATTCACTGAAGGGGATCTACTCCTCCTTTCTCATTGCCTTTTTCCCTGTTCATTTTCTTTTGATTGGCTCCTAAATTTTCAGACCTGTATTCGAATGCTAAATGTCATATCCCAGGTCTTCTCAGACAAACTCATACTCTGTGTAGACTCACACAGGCATTCTTTTTTCCCCCATCTCTCCTTCAACAACTATCACCATTTGAAATGATTTTTTTTTCCCAAATTTGTTTAGGTTGTTATTGTTCTCCTGACAAAATGTGAGGAAGAAGAAATGGGCTGAACACTGAAGGATTCCGCTCGGGGAATCAAATTGGAATACTGACTTCATGGAAATGATTATTTCCAATCCTGCTGCTGGAGGATGTGATCTTCCAGAACCTGAGCTGGGCTTGGGGACTAAGAGTGCATAAGTGATCATATCAAAATCCGTCCCAGCTGCAGGTGATGTAGAGAATATTGCCTGGATCTGGTCTTGGGTAGCGGGGGATGGGAGGGACTACAAAGGGGCCTGCTTTGAAAACAGCAGGATAAGAGCCAATTTTGGAATATTCATCCTATTCTAGAGAA